GTGTCATGTTAAAAGTCAAATTCTCATTTAAATCTAATAAATAAATATCATTTCTAATATTTTTTAACCAAGTCTTTTTAGGTCTACCTCTACCTTTTTTTAATATAAGTTAAATTTAATACCTCTACTTTCTTAACCGGGTCATCGGAAGGCTGTCGTTTTATGTGACCAAATCATCTAAGACGACTCTCTCTAATCTTCTCTTCCACTGGAGTTACTCTAACCTTTTAACATATATTATGCTCATTCGTATCTTGTCTCTAAGGATAAATCAACTCATCCACCTGAGCATCCTCATCTCTGCAACACTTAACTTATAGTATTATGCTTCTCTTTTAATGGCTAATATTTTGCACCATAAAGCATTGCAGATCTCACCACAATCATATAGAATTTTCCCTGAAGTTTAAGGGGGACTTTTCTATCATACAAGAAGCCCCATGCATTCCTCCACTTCAACCATCCAACATGAATTTCACTGATAATATCCCCATTTATTTCTCCATCACTCTGAACAATAGATTCAAGATATCTAAAACATGTACTTTTATTAATGACTTGATCGCCCAAAGTCACAATACCCCCACTAGGTCTATTACTTCTAAAATTTTACTCCATATATTCAATTTTAGATCTACTTAAGCGAAAACCTTTAGACTCTAAGGTTGACCTCCACAATTCAAGTTTACCTTCACTAGTCTTATCAACAAGAATAATATCATTAGCAAAAAGCATACACCAAGGTACATTCTCTTGCAAATGTCTAGTGAGAACATCCATGACTAAAGCAAAAATATATGAGCTTAAGGCTGATCCTTAATGTAATCCAACCGAAATAGGAAAATACTTTTTCAAACCACCATGTGTTTGAACACAAGTAATAGCTCCTGCATATATATCTATAATGATTTGAATATAAGCATTATTAACCCCTTTCTTTTCAAGAACTCTCCATAGCACTTCTCTTGGAATTTTATCATATGTTTCTCTAAATCAATAAATATCATATGTAGATCCTTCTTATTCTCTCAATATTTCTCCATCAAACCTCTCAATAAATGTATGGCTTCCATAGTAGACATACTCGACATGAATCCAAATTGATTTTGAGAAACATTAGTATCATGCCGCAACCTACAGTCCAAAACTCGCTCCCATAGTTTTAAAGTATGACACATTAACTTAATTTCTCTACAATTCGCACAATCTTGTGCATCACCTTTATTCTTAAAAATAGGAATCAACACACTCATTCTCCACTTATCTGACATCTTTTTGGTCTTTAAAATAGTATTAAAAAATTTAGTAAGCCAAGAAATTCCTTCATCTCCTAAGCATTTTCACACCTCTATTTGAATATCATCAGGTCCAACGACTTTTCCACACTTCATTTTTTTTAAAGCGTCTTTAGCTTTGATTTTACTAATATGCCGATAAAAAAAAATCTTTATTTTCATTTAAGGTGCTAAGGTTATTAAAGTCAATCGTATTCTCACAATCTTCATTAAAAATTTTAACAGAATATCTCATCCACCTTTATTGAATATCATCTTCTAAAAAAAGTAATTTATGATCTTCATCTTTAATACACTTCACTTGAACTAAATCCTCACTACTCCTGTCTCTTTGTTTGGCTAACTTATACATATATCTTTCTCCCTCCTTAGTATGGTATAATAAAAATCACACCGCAGCGCCCCGGCGGCGTGTTATTGTACACAACGTGACTCCTAGGATGGCTCCTGCGGGCGATAAGGAATTACTAGCGAACCCGATCCTTCATTACGGATCAATAGAAGTCGACAGGTCGAACCTTTAAACAAATACACGCGTGCTGAAACAACGTGTATTCATGCTTCAACACATCATATAGAGCCTCAGCTAAATCAAAAGAATTCACTGAAAAAAACGAAGCTATCGAATGCGTCTCTAATGTAAATGGGAGTAGACAGTGTTCAATATATTGGATAAATATGTGGTCACAAAGGTCGACCAGCAATATTTTTCTCTTAAGTGCTCGTAAATAAAGAAAAGTTCTATGAACAAAAGCATGAGCTAAGAACCGATCCTTCTTACGGATCAATATGGAGCACAGGTTCGAACTATCAATAATACACGGTTGTAGTACCGTGTATTTTTACTATTACATTCTTATAGGCCTTAATGCTATTTAAAAAGATTCAACAAAGGCAAAGCCTACGAGAACCCATCCCCATCAATATGATAGGTCGCAAGGGTTACATCAAATAGAAATGACCTCATCACCCCATGATGGCGTGTGAATGAAGTTCGTCAACGGAGGGGTTCCACAAATATCTCATAATTCACTCAAATGTATCAGAATCCAATAATCTACAAACTCCAAATTCTAGAATTTAAAACTGAAATAATGCATCAATACTTAAATGCATAAATCCATCCACCTCCAAAAGTTTTGTCGGATTGGCACAATCAAAATCTCTCGGTCAACAAAAAGCGAAATGCTATCGAAAATATCACTAGGATCAGTTATCAAACAATTCTCCTGCAATGGACGGTACGTGTCCTCTAACCGCGGTCTGCCGCTAATGTGGCACTCCGAGGTAACACGGTTATGACCCGCGCCCTCTGAACCACTGTTTGCGCAAATGGCACCACTGAATTATCTCGTTCTGATGACTAATATTACGTTCCTTATTGACATTCAAATCCTGAGATTGAACAATAGGATATGATGACAATAGGGATAAAGCCTTGTAATAAGTGCAATTCAAATTTGTCCCCTTAGACAACATCCAACCAGTGTCTATCAACGTCCTTGGACGACAGCAACCCTGGCTGCGACAAGGATCCTCTCGTCAGGTTGGTCGACTACTCCTTGACTAGTAGACAGCGACCACGATGCCGGACGCGGAAGCCATGGGATCTCTGATCGGGATCACATTCCCCACGATCCGCTTTAAGGCTAGATGGTGCAATTTCTATTTAAATATCAACCTTTCAAATCACCTTCCAATTCATCTCGAAAACCTTTGCTGCTATTAAATGCAGATAACACGTATTTCTATACCGTTCAGATCGTATGACTAGCTTAATGAAAGTTCTTCTCGTGATACGGGGGGTAATTACTATATGGGGCTTGCGCTAAGAAACCAGAATAGAGTCATAAAAGTCCTCGCAATAAATGAGGGAAATTTTTGGGTAGTGTCTTATTACACAACCAGGTCTCCTTCAAAATTTACCGGAACTTGAGTTAGTTAAAACAGCCTGCCGAAATAAGAACCGAGCGGAGGCGAGGCCGAATTTTCGGACCCACATGAAAAAAGATAAAAGACAGAGAAAACAAGCAAGAAGATTCTAAGATCAGGTTCGAGAAACATGGATATTCTACGATTCAACAATCCCTTGGAATACGAGCCTATACAAACTACAGTCATGGATGCATTTGTGTACAGAAAGGTACATGAGAAGAAGAACGTTTGCAAGATCACCTACACAAGACGAGATGAGATCCTGAAGAAATATTGAAGCAAAGATTCAAGAGCTGGATGCTCCGCCTTCGCTCCTCGAAAGAAAACAAGATCTGACTCATCAGAGCTGAGTCTTCAAGAAGGGGAGTCTGATGTAGAAAAGGGTGGTCAACCACATTGAGTTTTACTTTTAATTTCTTGCCTTGTGCTCTTTTCATCTTCCCCCTCTCCTTACTCTTCATTATCTTTCCTTTCTCTCCACCTCTATCTCTTGGCTGTTTTGTGTGTTATGGGAGCCTGGCTGATTTCGGTTTTGAGCATAGTTGTTGAAATTTTAGTGGTGCAGCTCATATTATCATGTGGTTGTAGCTCATTATGAGCTGATGTTTAGCTCTAAATTCATTATGAGGTGCAAGCTTTAGGTGAGTGGAACTTGTCTCTTCCTCTTCTTCTTTGCTCTGAGCCCTGCTTATTTCCCTCATTAGGGGTGCTGGAACTGTGGCCTTCATTGTGCTTTAAGGGACTCTTGGGTTTCTCTGTGTGGAACCCGTTCCTTTATTCCCTCCTTTGTCTTGACTTTATGATGGCTGCTGGATTAATTCCTCTTCTTTGGAATTGCTGAACCGTGTTAAAAATCTGTGCTAACCGTGGCTTCTCTACTATCCTTGGTTTCTCTGTGCATGTCGTGGCTTTAATTGCCTAGGTGCTGTTAGTTTCCTGTGTGGAAACCGTGGGTTTATGCCCTGCTGTTGGATTTCTGTGACAAAATCTGTGCTTTTCAACTCATTAATATTGGAATTTGAACAGTTTTTGACTGTTTTTGACAGTTTTCTGGGCCAGTTTGGGACAGAATTTGAAGAGTTTTGGACAGATTTCTATGCAGTTTTAGGAGCCTTTGACCTTCTTTAATTTCTTTTAGGGCTATTGTATCC